ATAAAATATATAAATAAATAAATAAATAAATTAATATATATATATAATATAATATAATATAATATAATATAATATAATATAATATAATATAATATAATATAATATAATATAATATAATGTATATAAAAAAAAAGAAGTTCTGACGGATGCAAACGAAAGTTACAGTGGCAGCGCTGCAGAGCCCGGCTCTCAGTATTGCGGGGCGACTGTGACTGCAGGCTTACAGTGCTGCAGCCATTGTGGCAGCTGAGTTCTGCCCACTACACCTTAAGCTCCAGTTCATCAAGCCTCAAGATAAAAAAACACCACCCTAGCAATGGACGTGTTATGCTTGCTCATGTCTTAAGCCCAAGCCCACCCTTGCTCTACCTGACACCCGGCAATGATACTGTAGGACATGGGTATACCAGCTTGTTCCCGATGTCGACTAACAGGCAGCCTTTACGATCCATCCGTTGTCGGAGTTGGAGCTCTTCCTCCGGGTTGCCCTACGGGTGTGGCGTTAGAAATTGATTTTGAGGCTTACTTGTGTCTGGGAGGCGAAACCCTTAAAGCGACTTGCAGCAACAGCTCTGCGGTAAGTTACCTGAGGAGACGACCTTGGATCCTTTTGAATAGTTTTACGCCTGGACAGGGAGTTGGAGTTTGCCTGGCCGACTGCGAGACTTGCGATCTAGAGTCCCTTGCCGCAGAAGTCGCAGACGTGCTGATCCGCGAAGCCGTGAAACCAACAGACCCACGACTCGCACGGCATCTTCCCAACGTTTTGTCATATCAAGTCAAAGCCAGCTGGCAGCGAGCTGTTTTGGATTGCCCGGCAGAGATGCAGCATCGTTGGGCAGAGCTCCAGCAGTTCCATGGCATACTTGAGAGTGACTTCAAGTCGTGCCGGGCTGCAGGCGACAGATACTTTTGGACTGCCTGGAGCTACATCACAGATGCAGCAACCACGCCAACTGGATATTTGAACTTCGAGTGTCAGCTTATTGAAAGTCCTTTGGGTCACGGTCCACTGATCTATCGGGGCCTTATGTGTAAGGATGTTGAAGGGCGCTTTGATGACGTTTTTGTCACGGGATACTGCTTGCCAACTTCTTGCAACGGCCCTCCTTTGGAGCACTTCTTCGGGCCGGTGCGCCAGCTGTCAGTTCTTGAGTTTACTCCTGACTTGCAGCCATGGTGGGCCAGGCCGTATGAAAGCCAGTTTGCTGACCTCACGGAGCCTCGACTTGTTGTAGGAACATGCCTTGCTGCGGGGATGGCCTTCAGAATGCTTCGTTGGCTTCTCCAAGGCATTTCGGCCCTGCTCAGCCCAAGCACGAGTACTGCTGGTGTTGAAACTGACCCCAACCCAGTCATTCCACGCAACCGGCTGCTGGTTCCCGACTTGTTGCGCATCGTTGCCGTTGTGGCAACTCTCCAGTGCCATACGGACTTCTCAAACAAGTGGCTCAAGACCTTAATGTCTTGGCTTCAGTTTGGAATTTTCTTCGCACTAAGTGAGTTCCTCGCAGCAAAGAAGGGCCGCAATTCGTGGTCGTCGGCTTTGGTCCAGTGCTCAAGGCTCTGGCGCAAAGGGAGTCGGGAGTTGCCACATTTGGCTTTGACGGTGTGGGCTTGGAGTGGTGCCTTCCTAGCTGGGGACTGGACTGGTTATCTTTTCCAGCGAGTGCCGGGCTTCACTTCTGCGTTCTACCTCGGTGCACAGAACTGCATGAGGAGCCTCCATCAGAGAGGCTTTTTGGCAGAGCTGTTTCACCTCCCTATTTATTTCGTTGGCGCGGAAGCGGCTCATTGGAAGCCCTGTGGCTCTTGGTTGGTGAGGATGGACTTTCAACTGGAAGTTGCCCTGACTTCGCTGCAGCTGGTCGAAAGCCTGCTCGGGTTTGCTCCCCGTCTTCTCGCGGAAGTCTTTATGGCATTTGCCACAATGGCCCACATGACATACATGACGGCGATCGAAACGGAAGCGTTGGGGCTTGTTCGTGGTAGTTTTACTTTCGCCTGGATCATGAGGAGATCGTTGAGCCTCCACGCGAAAATGTTCAGACTTTCGTCCCCGAGACATGCCTTGGGCTTGGCTACTGCGTTTGTGGCGGTAGCTATCGCAGCCTGCACAACATTCGTGTCACTACCCCATGCGGTTCGTAAGGCGTATCCCCACCTGCCTGAGGAAGAGCTCAAAAGCCAGCTCTTGATCGAAGAGGCAAAGTTCGGGCTGTTGGGCACACTGGCCTTGCCTCATGCCGCACTGCTTGTTCTCCATTCCAGTGAGTTCATCGAGGCGAGGTGTAGCTTCCTCAAGCCGCTTGGCCCACTCTGTGCATTCTTGGGCCCTCTCTGTTTTGGCGTGCTTCTGAACCACGGCTTCCTGGCTTTTGCAACCTGGGAGTTTATTGGCAAGTTGCCAGAAAAGACTTTAGAATTGCCTGCTGTATTGAAGGCACCCGGGCGGTCCAGGATCGCTTCGTTTCTCATTTACGTCGTGGCCTGCTATGTGGTTGCTTGGGTGACTGAGCGACTCCTGGCGTCACCCGTCACAGACTGCTTAAACTTAATTTGGGAATTGTCTGTGAGGCTTCTGAGAGGTTGCGCAGCTGTGGCATTCCAGATCACAAAGAGACGCCTAGAGTCGAGAGTCTGGAGATCAACAAAGTGGCATTGGGGTATTATTCTGCAAAGCTCTTACTTATGCTTGTTTGGCAAGGGAGGTGTGGTAAGTGCCGCTTAGTCTGGGTTGGCAAGCATCGGCCCTCGTAGATGCGGTTTCTATTTTGCACAGGGGATGCGATAGTTAATTACATGCACTTGCATCAATTGGTCATACCGTCTGCTGTGTGTGGGCTCCGCAGCTTGATCTTGGCATCCCCCCCGCACAATCTCAGCCCGGGTCGGCAAACAGCTGTGACACGATGGCTGGAACGGAGCTTGCAGAATTGGCGGCTGCAGTGAAGAGCACCACTGCAGAGGAACTGCAAAAGGCTTTGCAGGACATGCCGCGGATGGATGGCTTTGGGTTTAGGGTTTAGCGCGTTTAGGGTTTAGGGTTAGGTGTTGCAAATTCGTCGTAGCCAGCAGGACGCATGGTCGTCTGCATGCCGTAATGATCTTGTCTCTCGCACGCATTGCAGTCGCAGTTTCAGTGCAGCTAAACGACAGGACATTTGGCTGCACTCTAAATGTGTGCAGGATTGCTCGCCCGAAGAGCGAGAACGAATTCTCGCAGCAATCGCAGCTGCTGAGGCAACACGTCGAGCCAACATGATGAACATGTGTGGTGCATATTCTGCTTGGATGGTGTATTCACCGTAGCACTCTTGACCGGCATTCTGCATGTAATGACGTCTGACTTTGGACTGCTGCGCAAAGTGAGTGTCGTCCCATTTCGTGTAGACCGATAACAGTGTACTCAGGATCAAACTGCTTCGTTCTTGGTTTGAACCCCGATGCCAGACACCCGCTGTTTTCGGCCATCGCGGACATACCTACCAAGTCATGTGTCATCAGGGTCCCAATTCAGTTCGCTGTCAATCTGACACTTCGGCGGTGAAGCAGACGAGCTGAAACAGTGCCAGGCTACAAAACATCAAACTGGTGGCGGATACAAGCTCCATAGCTGCAACGAAGCATAGTCAGTGTAAGGTGTTTAGGCACCAGGAATCCGCATTGAAGCATTAGGGACTAAAGAATCCATGTCAGCACCTTATTTCAGTCGAGGTTATCTACACACTGGACAACTTCAATAGCAGTAGGAAGTCTCAGTCGCGAAGTGAAAGCCAAAGGTCATGGCAAATCCTACTCTCAGCAGCAAAACGATTGGCCAATCGAAGTGAACATGCACACCTGTAGATCTGAAGAGCCCAAGAGGACGACAATGCTTTGACTAATCGGGTCAAATCTAACCCCTGACCTGAACAGCCTTCCGAACCGGTTTTCGGGTAATCGTCGAGCCTAGTCGTGATATTACTCGCGGATGTGAGGTCAAGTTAAAACCATTCTCATGTTGCATCGTGTCTACATACGCTGAACGAACGGCGCCATTCTACTTCTTCGCAAACCGAGGTCTGAAGAAAGCCAGTGACGCGAGCACCTGCAGGCACCCGCCCGGCCAGGACAAAACATGGTCGTATGTGGTGTTGAGCTGGCCTTTTGTAAACTCTGGGTTGGAGACTTCGGCCAGAAAGTGTGCAGCAGAAGCTCAGAAGCTATGTGGCTGTGTCTGGCAGTGACATCGTGGAATGCAGGTCGATTCCACAAGTCCGGGGCGAAATCCACTTGCTTTCTGAATGGAGGCGTTCAGTGAGGGTTGGATGCAACAGCAGGCCCCCTTATAGTGTCAGAAGAGAATTCTGCCACAGATGTTTTGCATTGCATCCAACCTGCGGGAGCCAACATCATTTTTGAATACCATGAGGCATTGCCTCTCAGTGTTCATCTGTGAGGATCTGCGATGAGTCGGCGATGAGCCTGCCTAAGGCCATGAGCCGTAAACCTTAAGCGCTGAAGCCCTAGACCCCAAACCCCTGCAAGACGTGCTGCGTGGGGGAGCTCTTAAGCTCGTCGACTTGTCGCAGTCCGCACAGGCTTTAAGCCTCGAGGTCGGCCTTTATCCAGACTTAGAGTGTTTAGGGATGTTCCGTGATTCGTAGCGTCTAGAAAAGTCGTGGCAAGACTCAGCGTTCCGTGTTTCGGTAGCAGGGAGTGTTAAGATTGTACGAAGAAAGCCAAATGCAGGCAGACCTTGTTGTCTAGAGTGCGCTTCTCTGTCAGAAGAAACAGTGAGATGTTCGCACCTACAGCCGGGGCTTGAAAAACACCAAGGCATCAGCCTTCGATTCTGTCCAACACGTTCTTCGGCTCCGTTGGTAATTTGCATATGACTGACCACTTCAAAGGCTCAGCGATCGCGGTCTCAAGGCGATGTGTATGGACCCGTGCCCGCTATCTGAGCTATCTAGATGCTGCAGATTGAAGTCAAGGTTCAATGCTGAAAGGTGTATTCATCTAGCGACCTCCTGCCCCCGAATCCGGATTACGAGACGACGATGGTGTGCCCAATTGGCGGGAATTCTAGGGAATGAGTGGAGGAAGGTTTCCGGTTTTGAGGTCGGCTTCTTTTTGCAGTTTTTCACTGATGTGGAGTGGTGTGTATGCAGTCAGACTGAAGCGGGAACGTGGCTTGAACTTGCGACCGATTTGCGAAAGCTTGCAGTGACATGGGGGTCACATGGATAAGCTTGGTAACTGCAACACACAAGATGCAACACGGCTTGAACATGACTGAATCATGTCGAGTAACATAGCTCTTGTCTTATCAAGATTTCGAAGATGCACGATGCAGTGACGAGGGATTTACGATGTGCTGATGCTAAAAGCCATGGCTTCAACGGCTACAGCGCAGCAAGCGAGGCCTGGTGCATTCGTCACACGCCGGCCGGTTGGGACCGGATTTTGGGAGGATTCGCTGTCAGGAATGGCCTGCCGACCCCGTTCTTTCGAGCGTGGTTGTGCAAAGCCATGTAGCCAAAAGCATGCCTCGACAAAGCTGAAACTGAAGCCTTTCTTTGGACTTGTTCTTCAGAAGGCCCTTGGCTTTTCATTTCGTGGGTCTCACAGAGGGCTTCTTCTTGGTCTTGCTTTATCAGGCTTCAACCAGGCCGGCAGCATTGATGGTGGTGGTGGATATTGAGCCTGGGCAAGCGTCCAGATCGTTCTTCTTCTTCTTTCTGCAAGACTCTTTATGTGAATCAGCTTTTTCGGGAACTGTCGAATGCCGCCTGAGTCAGGACTATCGCGAGTACTTCCTTCCCGATACTATCCAGGAGCTGCAGCGCGCTTTCGTGCCTCAGCGAACGAACAGACCGTGAATGCCCCATTGCCGCTTTTCGGCTCGCATGTCGAGTGCAGAAGCCCTCTGAATCCTGACATGACGATCTGTCGCGCACACCTACAAAGAAGCTGTCTAATATCTTTGAATATCTTCGCATCCGCCCCAGTCGCTGATCCTTCCAAGGACAAGTTTGACACATCTGGAGATGGTGCCATCTCAGTCAAGGAGTTGTACCAAATGTGTTTTGCCAGCATTGCAGTTGGCACAGCACTGACTACAGCCCGGAAGCTGTGCTGTCATCATGGCTCAAAGGTTTCGAAGCCTCGGCAAGAAAGTGAGCCGCCAGCAGCTGAAGCACGTGCTTGCAGAGATTGATACCGACTCTCAGCCTGAATAAGCTGTGACGCAGGCGAAACCTCTTGGAGCATTAAAGGGTACGGTGCCTCTTCGTTGCCCCGGTTTTTGAATGGAAGAGTCTCAGGGCGGACCGGCTTTCGCAGTTTTCTGCGGGGCCCTCTTCGGCAAATTCCTCACTTTCAATCCAGGATGGGAATGGCGAGATTGAGTTCGAGGAGCTGTGCATGCTCGAGATCAAGATGAGCGGGGCCCGGCCACGAGCAGATCTCATTGATGCTGGGCTTGCGCTTCGGAGCTGTGCGTCCATCATCGCGCGTGCCTACTACCGCTTAGTCCGCTTAGGTTCATTTATTGAACTTCCTCAGGATTATCGGGAGTTCCTGACGGAGCGCCAGGTGGCCAAACTGGAGACGGCTTTCCTGCGCAACGACAGAAAAAACACAGGTGGGGTCATTGCTGGCCAGTGTCAGACGCTTTTTGTGCGTGCTGCAAACGAAGAGGTCTTATTGGCCTCGATGCCTTCTGCAGCATCGTGGAAAGTCTCGTGCCTTCACCGCATGGAGCCATGCCATGGCTTTGGACTCTCCCTCGTCTGTGATGCCACGCAGACTGCGGTTCGGAGATGCCTCGGTGATTCGCTTTGCAGGCACCCTGGACGGATCGAACACCTGTTGAGCAGCGTGCTACGCGCGAGGCGCCCCCCCCTGGCACTCTTCTGAAAACCTTCACAAACAGTGCATCGCTACTCCAAGCACGTTCGCCATTGTGTAGAGCCGCCGCAAACCTGGATGTGGCAGCACGAGACAGGGAGTGTAGAAGCGGTTTGAGTTCGAATGGAGCTACCAGGACTACGAGGACGTACTGGCCGAGGCACCTGCACATGAGAGAGTGGCTGTGACTGAACACGCAAGCGACTTAATTTGCTGTCTCGGCGAGTTGGTTCTAGGTGCAGCATGATCGCTGGATTGTGCATGCGATGCGGTCAGGTGGATCCCCAATGCCGCGGCAGCATTGACTTTCACCAGCTTTGCTCGGGCTTTGCAGTCCTCACAAAAGCACGTGACCAAGCTGCATCCGAGCCAAGTTCGGAAAGCGGGTCGGGGGAGGTGAGAGCAGCAACATTGCAAGCCGGGACCCTTCGTTGGATGCCGTGACGAGCCCTGTGTATGGTCCAGAGGCATGCAGTCGCTTCTCTAAGGTAAGATGGTAAACTACAGAGAGCACCTTGCCAAGAGATTACGCCTTAGCTCTTTTGAGTCTTGATCTGCCACGGGAGCATCAGGTTGAATGATTGAGCCATGGCAGTGCTCATGCATGTATTCTTTTAACTCGGCAGCTGCTTTTTCTTGAGAGCATGTCATCCATCCCAAACTTCGCAGACTGGGACCAGGTATCTCCAGCAGGACGAGGTAAAGGAGCGAGAGCCGCGTCCCATGTTGAACCCTCGGCAACGACATGTCCAAGTTCCAGTCGCAAGGAGTATCGTCGCATCTTCAATGCCACCACGCAGAAGAAGGGCCAAAGTGGCCTGATTTCGCACAGAAGCCCATTCACTGGAGACGGTAGCGCAAGACTAAATGGCCTGAGCGACTGCGGGTTCTTGCAGTAGAAAGCAGTGAACTTCGAAACCGCAGGTTTTGGGAGATGTTGGGACTAGGCGTGTTCGGCGAAGTTGCTTGCAACCTGGCGTTTAAGGTGGGCTGTCGAAGTCAGACCTGGACCGGATTTTGCGGAGAATGGGTGCTACATTACCGAAGGCAGCATATGAAGTGGTTGCACAGCATGCGAACGATCGCGAGCCTTTCTGGAATACGGCGTTGATTCTGCTGTTCCTGCAACCGTTCGGCAGCCATGATGCCACTGCTGACACTTTCGTTTCGTGGAGGCGCAGCTGCGTGAGTTCTTTCAGTATTTCGACACCGACGGCTCGGGGTTGATGGACTTTGAGGAATTCTGCGTGATGCTCCTGAGGCGCGCACGTCGACTCACCCATGAATCTGCTATTGTTGGGTTGACTGTCGCGCTTTTTGTAGGTGCTTGAATGTGAATGACCGCATGTTGTTGCTCACGACCGAATCCGTTCACTCACCCTTTGGGTCTTGTGACATGCATGCGAGGGTCCGCAACCTTAACAAGAATCGGATCGTGAGCCCGGAGACTTGCAGCTGTTCTCAGTTGTGGCCGCTTGGCAAGCAAGTGGCTGCTAGAATCATTGACGATTGTGCACCAACCATGCGGTATCGAAGCGCCTTTCGTAAGTTCCGGGCATCCGAAGGAAAGAGGAGGAGTTCAGCATCGAGGATGGCCTTTACGTCTGCTGAGTTCATGCCGCACGTATTCACGGCAAGTCATGGCTTTGACTGTGACACCACCTTCGCACCTCATCGTCTGTCACTTCGTGCAGTCATGCCCCGTCCCCTAAACCGGTACGTAAGCCTGTCAGGAATTTCACGTCACACGATTTAGGGACTCATGCTTCAGAGATCCTGTGTTTCACGCGAGAAGCAGATGTTTTTGGTTGGATTTGAAGTTTAGGCGTTAGGCCTGCTGACAGGAACTGCAGCAGTCCGGCTTCACGCTGGAGGCAGGAGTTTGTAAAGCCTGTGAACTCCTTCACCCTTTCCTTACGGCCTAAGGGCTAGTGAGATGCATACGAACAGCAGCTTAAGAGCTAACACCGCCGCATCGTACTCTCCGTGTAATCAGACGATGGCTTCCCCAAGCTGCCCTGAGCGTGTGTGCAGTATGGCTGGTCGTGTCGCAGGATTTCAAGCATGCCAGCATACCGGTCTCTGCTCTCCATAAAGACGGAGGCAGGGTTGGAAGAACTCGAGAAGTATGTTTCGCATAAAGAGCTGTTCGGCAACCGATGTGCTGCACTCACATGCTTCTGATCCACGGACCCACGTGCGCGCTCGACGGACGAGCCGTCCGTCAGGATACTCTGCACTGGAGTTGCGACGTGCCGGATTCTCTGCCAAGGAGCTGAAGCAAGGCATGCTGAATTGTTGTACCTTGTGCCTCTATGTCATACTTGGGAGACAGATGTCCTGAACACATGAGTCTGCGGCGTGCTTCGGCAAAGCTCGACCCAACGGAGAGAGCCCCTGTTTCGCTGCCGTTCAAACATGTGGTCTCGTCTGGCTCGCCATGGCTGCTGTCGGTCTTGACTAGCTAGTCATTGACCCAGCGGCCAGCCTTTTTGAATCCCACCCGATGCTGTCGGTGGGCTGGGCTTTGTCTGGACTTCGTCAGAGGGTACAGCCTAAAGAAAGCTCTTGACTGGATTGTACATTAATCAGTTGCTTCTCAGACAGAAATCATGACTTGAGAAGTTGCAGGTGGGGTGGCGCTAATGGAGCTGCGACGAGGCCTGGCGCCATGCGGTCAGGGAAAGGTAGCCTGGTAGCCTTTTGCGAAGGCGCGGACACGCAATGAATCAGATCATTGTCTTGCTGCTTAAAGACCGGAAGTGTCTCATGCTGGGGGTCTCTGGACTTGTCAAGGCGGTTACAGCCTCATGGACCTTCGCCTGGCGGGGTTTTCAGCTCAAGCCCTCGAAGGTGAGAATCCCGGGCACAGGTGATTCATCTTGATCGTTGGCTTTTACTCGGTGAAGCGTTTTAATTATTCTAGGTCAGAAAGCAAACACCACTCAGTACTACGTAGTACTAGTACTAGTACCACCACCAAAACCACCACCGCCACCGCCACCGCCACCACCACCACCACCACCACCACCACCACCACCACAACCGCAACCACAACCACAACCACAACCACAACCACTACGACGACGACCAGGACCACTGCCACTGCCACTTCCATTAGGACGTCCCACTGCCTAGGTGCCAACCGCCAGCTCCTTGGGTCATTCTCCGCTGGTGACCTCTCTGTGCTCCCACGCATGGCTCCCAAGCCTGTGGTCTCCAAGGAGCGGCAATGCAGTGGTTTCGAAACTAGAGTTTGGAAAGTGAAGGGCTTAGGTTTTAGGGTTTAGCGGTTTCAAGTGTCTCAGCTTGGGGGATTTGAAGCTCAAGCAGTTGCTTTCTATGGCCCGTTTACTGGTGTTTCGTTTGTCGCGATTCGTGTGCTATCTGCTCAATCTAGCATACTTGCCTTTGATTGCCTTGCAGGGAATTAGTGGATTGCTGTCCTAGCCATGCATTCTTCGTAGCAGGAGTCAGTAGAAGGGATGATTCGATACGACGACCTGCGCAACGACTTATCCCGAGTTCTTTTCTCGTGTGTGTTTTGTCCCCAAGGCCCCAAACTATCCCAAGCTCGCTTCGATTCAACGGGCTGTGGGGTCCGTGGATGAGCGAAACAAGGTGCAGGATGTGGCGTGGACGGCCACATGCACGGTTCGAGAGGGGTATCAACGGGAGCGTGCGGGGACAAGCCGTTGGACGGGAGAAGCGAGGGAGACAGAAGCGAGAGCGACGGGCCAGCCGAGCACTATGTAACCTGGCTTTCTTATCGTTTCTTGGGTGCTTAGGCGTGCGAATTGCATTTGCAGACTTTGTTTGCTGCACATCTGTAGAATATAACCCAGACCAGTAAGAACAACCACAATCAAAGCCACCTGGATTATGTTTCCAAGGCGGGTCGCGTTGAACTTTGCTCGAAAGCAACTTTGAAGCTACTTCACGGACAGTGCCTTAAAGAAAAAGGTTGAAGGTCCGTTCCAACTGTGGTTTAAAACTCCGCCGAAAGGAACCTGTCGCAGACAAGAACCAGTGCACTCCTCAACTCAACAAGTTAGGGTCGACACCACCGAGATAGCCTGCTATGGGCTTCTAACAGTTCTAATACCAAGAAACAGACTGGTGTCAGGGATTCGCACTCAGCAGCGCTGGCTTTGCGTTGCTGAAGAACGCACCAGGCTGCATGTGCTTCTTTGGGAGTCGGTGTGCTGCGGTGGGATGAATGTGTAGCTCGTCGAAGCATTGCTGAAAGCAGGATCCTCATGTCTCTGTCATCAGCAGCCTAGCTAAGCTAGGCATCAATGGTCCAAGCTGGATTAAGGAAAGTGCGGGCGCCTCCTCTCTGTTTAGTTGCCATGCTGTCCAGGCTCATTTTTGGATGTCGCTGTGCAGCGGCCCCTGCAACGGCAAATGACGCCGATGATCCGTGAGCACACCGCCGCCTAGCTGTCCCAGTACCAGGCAGAGCAAGTAGACTGCTGTCTAGTGAGGCTGCTGGGCTGTTCGCTTCCAGTCAGGCAGGTGGCCAGCGTTTGTCATTTTTTGTCCTCGATGTCAATGCCGTCCGCATTCAAAGCTGTTGGGCTTTTGGGCCCAAGGATTGGAAGTCTCCCTACACAGGGCAGGCGAACCCGCCCCTTGGCATTTGATATCTTTCCGCAAGGATCGGGAGCTTTGAGAGAGGAAGCCTGCGCCAAGGACTGGGGACAGCCTGGATGCCTTGGCCTCCACCAGCTTCCAGAGGCCATCCTAAAGTGCTCTCCTAAACCCTCCTAAAGTGCTGCTCTCTTTGCCATAGCCTGTCTAGGGCTCAGGGGATCATGGGTCTGAGGTCCAAGTACCACAATAAGACTTTTGTTGCCATACTTCCGATTCCTTTCGAGGTCTAGACCCAGCGACAACAACGGGTTTCTCCTGGACGCGAAGGGGAAATTCTTGGGTGGTTGAATTCACGACACGGCTCTATTGCTGTGTTTCCATTGCAGACATCCGTCCCTGCAGAGAGTTTTTGACTTTCTAGGCCGAGCATCTCTCACACCCGAGACTTCCGGAAACCTCAGCGTCGGATGTGTTTTGAACATCTCCCTGTCTGCACGATCCTTTAGGGATCTTCGTGGGCTGAGCCCCGAAAAGTTTGCGTGACGCGAGCCCACGTTTAAGTGCGCTTCCCAAGCGCTCAGGATTCAAGATTTGAAGCCTGCTCGGCTGCATCGTCCTTGGCCAAGCCAAAGCAGCCCCAAAGAAGCCTGCCTCAGAAGCTTCAGAGACCAGCAAGAACTGCAAGCAAGAATTCTCGAGACCGACATGCACTTGTAACATCTTGTAAAGACCTGGAAAACAGTCTCACTTGCCTAGACTCTGTGGCAGTTCCACTCCAAGGCATTCTTGTCACCAACTTTGCTCAAAGTTGTTTTCAACGTGTCAGACGCCATGGACAAAAACGCAGATGCTGGCTGTCCTGAGCGACAGCGGACAGAATTCTACACTGCGAGCCGCCGTTGCTTTGTTGGGCCTGACGACGTTGTTGCTTGCGCACTCGCAGTCTACACTCGCAGGAGTGTTTTCCTCCCGCAGCTTCCTGCCCACGTGCGCTGCAGTTGATGAGTGTTCGTGCTGTTCCTGCCGAGCTGTCAAGTCTCCGTGCAACATCTGCCGGGCTCCAGGCTTTCCGGTAGAACCGTTGAAGTTTGAATCAAGAAGTGATAGTGCTGTGGACGAAAGACTGCCCATGGCACATGAACCTTTCAAACGTAAGACACACGAAACTCGTACGATCGGACGGTCCGATGATCACAAAGGGCCAAAGCAGTTCAGCAGTTGGGCTATTCCAGCACCCTAGACTCGAAGCATTCCACTCATCCCCTTCCAGCCAGGATAGTCGTGGATGCTAATAGTCAGAGTCAGAAGCATGCGTGGCGTGTAGAACTGGGACCTTGATGGCGGTCGCCGAAGGGACGAACTGCATGAGGTCTCCCGATTTCATCGAGCCCAGTTGTCGCATTTTCAAGCAGAACTCCCCCGGAGGGCCCCGGAGCTGCCCATTGGTGTGCCGCAAGATGTTGAAAAGGCCTGGAAAAAAAAGGGAGGAAATGGACCGAGCCTTCCGCGCTCTGTGCCGCGTTCCACAGCCGCAGGCATGTCCCGGGACACCGGCGCCTACGTCTCCCACGTCAGCAGACAAGCTGATGCTTCAGGCCGGCAGTTTCGCACACTAGTGTCGCAGCTCGCCACTCTGCTCCCACTAGTCCAGGGCGCGCACGCTGTGCCGCCAGAGTGGTCTAACTGGTGCCTCCGGCACAGAAGTTTGTGTAGAAATGTCAATGTTATGCAGCTGCAGATGGGGGACCCACCTCGGCCTTCTGAGGAGCCTCTATCGTATTGAGTTCGCCGCTCTCCGCTGCATTCAGAGGCTCTGGCAGGGCAGCTTCACGCTTTGCCAACGGAGGGAGTCGCGCGCCTCGCTGTCAGGAATCTGCCGCAGCTTTTCATGAGACTTGGCATCACTTGGATTCTTCCCGACTTGTGATCGTAGTGTTCTTCTCTGAGATAAGAAACATGCTGCACAATGCTAGCAGATTTGGGCAAGGATTTCGTTGCTTTAAGCTACATGATGACCGAGTCTTGAACCCTTTTGGAGCATCAAGGCTTCCCGTGGCTTTCGCGATACACTACACGGCGTCGGAGGCAGGATAATGTTGTAGAATGCTTGATGCCGGTGCCACCACGCTGATCGAAAACTTCTCTTCTTGAAGTTGCAACCTCTGCGATGTTTGGTATTCAGGCTGCTTTCGTGCCTCTCCTGGGCGTGTGGCCTGGCAGAGTCAGTATGGGCACTAGTGCCGCGCTCGACGCGCCCTAGAACCTTACCTTCCAACTTGACGCTGGGCACACTTGCTGGGCCATTGCTTCCATGTTTCAATCTCTTGGTCTGTTGGACATGCATAAGGATGACATGGACAGTCTCCCTGCCAGCCACGGCATCCGTCGCAAGTTTCGCCTGCTTTTCCGCGAGGGCCACAGCTTGCATGAGTGTCCTGAGGGATGAGAAACGCCAGTGCATACCAAATGAATGCAGAGCCAGCTAGCAGCCGCTTCTTTCAAAGCACTGCGCTTTCAGGTCTCCCTCAACATGGGCCTGAAGTGACTCGCCTGGTCGGCCACAGTGAGGACTGCAGAACGAGTCGTTGCCTTGCTCAGGTGGATGTGCCAGCGGCCACGTCCAATTTGGCTGGATGACGGCAGGATATCCGACGTTTGGAACATTGGCACCTCGGCATCTGAAAGGTTGTCCCTTTGCGTGGGTTTTTTCTGTGATTTCTGCATGCCAGCAATTGCTCAGTAACGATCATATGTGAGGATCACTGTGGGAAGCAGCTGATGCCTCAGTGACCGGACGCCCTTTTTCACACGGCCAAGCGTGTTGTTGGTGCCGAATGCTGGCCATTCGTGTGCTTGCTCTTGATTCAGAAGACATCAGGCTCAGTTTGAGGCGTTGTCGCGACTCAGGATTATGCATTTCCCAGCGGTCACACACACGTCCTATCCGGCAGCTTGTCCCGAAGTTAACCAAAAGTTCAAACGAGACCTGGTGCCGGGTTGGGAAGCTGTTCTGATGTTCTTGCTTGCGTCCACCACCGCTAAGGTATTCTGGTTTGCATCTTCTTTGCCTACGAGCTACCCCCTGCGTGGCTTTATGTCATGTATCTGCTTCTCGGATCTTTCTGTGATAGAGGGAGAAGCTGTCGGCGAGTGCCAACCATTCGCCAGATTTTTCGGAAGCGATTTATCTAGTTCCAATATGTTCGCACTCAAGAAAATGATTGTTTTGAGGCTTGGGGCGCTTGCTGGGTTCTCCAGGAATTATCTTGGCGTGCATTGGTGTCCCTCGGCTCACTGGTAATTTCTGATTCCTGGGCATGGCCTATCGATGAATGTCTGAGCAGAGCGCACCCTTCAGCACCGCGCACGCCGAGGCAGTGATACGGCTACAGGCTTCATCATTGGATGCGTTAGTGGCACCCTGTGGGGGCTGCTAGACGTCTATGGGCGGCTCATGCGCCGGGATCTGACCAAGGGCCGGGAAAGAGCCAGAAAGCTCGCAGTGCCTGCAACGAGTCCTGCCGAAGTCTGGTGAAGGTCGTGGCGACCCGCTGCTGTCTGTTTGCGTCGGTCTGGGAGCGGTCAGCCTGGCACCATTCGGGGCGATCGGACAGCTCGGAGTCAGTTTCTGGCTTGGATCGGAAGGCTCTGGGCATGACGCTTCTGACTCTTCTGGGCCGTGCAGTTGCGGGAACCTCGCTGAACGTTATGCTGGTGTTCGATGCTTCTTTCGACACCACCTTGTCTGAGACGGCACTCTCTCGCTGTCTCTGCCTCTCTATGTGCTTGGGATGCTGAGACCAAACCGGTGCAGTCCGAGCTGCGGGCAGAGTGGCAGGAAACTGCGGTCTGTGACTGAGTCATGTGCCGCTTTGCCGTCTTCAAAGTTTGCGAAACTGAGGTCCAGGGATTGCAGTCCGTCCACCCGGGACGGCCGAAGATCCTACCCAGAGACACAGAGGTCGGCGGCCCTGCTTTGTCCGGTCGGGGAGGAGCTTGAACCTCTTTGAATTTCTTAAAGAGGCAGATTCCACGCCCTCGCTGCGAACGATCGCTCCGAGGCGCTGGAGGCGACGCGACTTTTCTCACAGCTTTTCTGCAACCTCAAAGTCTCTCCTTTGAATTCCGCTATCGCTGCCAGTTGCTGCGGCTCCCGCCCACGCCGACTGCGGCCCCGTCGCCTGGTCTACACTGCAGGAGTCGTAAGAGAGACACTAAGCTCACCAAACGTTGACAGTCGCAAGAGCTGGGATGTCGAGTCCATCCTTCTGTCGACTCAGTCCTTGTCAGGACCTGCGCTATGTGGCGGACTTTGCCTTGCAATGCTGGAACCCCAAACCAATAGTGGGTTGCCGAGACCCAGGTCAAGGTCGTTCAACGCGATAATTGCAGCAGAAGGCACCACGTCCACGATTTGCCTTTCGTTTGAAGGCCATCTCGCGTTTCAAGCTATAGGGTTTGTCAACCCTTTCTCCTTGTTTGGCGTCAGTCGTTGCGCCGTTGCTCCTGCTAGTGATATTCGTGCTTGGGCTTGAAAGTTGGATAGTCACGGATCGTGCTAATTGTGTGCGGGCTTTTCTATGAGTTTAGGGCTTGTCGTATGGGTTTCTGGTTCGTCGATAATGGCCTTGTTTCTGAGGGTTCGGAGCTGAGGAATGGCTGCAAGAATTCCTTCGAGATTGAGGTTGTGCATGGTTGAGTTTTGCAGTGGCTTACTACGACATCAGGCTTGGACTGACAAATGGCTGCCCTCTCTGAACGTGGTTGCTTGTTTGAGGCAGGTGTGATTGTTCCAAGCATCACCTGGTTTAGAGTAAAAGGATTCCCAGAACCCTGCTTGGGTGACATCGCGACGGTCTGGGTCAGAAGTTTGACCCCATCGCCTCTACACGTATATTGCGCTTTTGCACGCTGTGGGATCAAGGCTTAAGCCAAAAATTCGCCAAACTGTGCCGAGTCGGCACCAGTCTGAAAACAGCATGATGACTCTGACTCTGCCCGCAGCATTGTAACTTTCAACCGTTTCTTCCGGCGGTTTTGGGTGAAGTGTTGCCACCCATCGCCCGGTTTGTAGTGTTTTGCCAGGTTTGGCTGGCTCAAAGCTTTCTGTGAGCACTCCGTGTTCGGTTGACGGTTTCTCAGTGCAAGCTTTGTCCGAGAGTTCACGGATTGCCCGATCATCACGTCTTTTCGGGTTTGTCATCCGCCACCTTTGTTGTTTGCCACCTCGGGGTCCGACTCTGTTCCGACCAGACTCTCGTGCGAATCTTCCGTGAAGTGATTTAAACCTAGCGTTCTCGAACGTGTTCGAGCACTTGTGTTTCATGATTCGCTGTGCTCGAGGTCCGGCATCTACTCTCGGGTCCTCCCCGCCACCGAGCTAAAGTCTCAGCTGTGTTAGACACGGTCCAGGTCAAAGAGTTTTCTTTCCCTGCTCGGAGTCCAAGGTTGGGGGCATGCCTGTCATTCCATCCGTCGAGCTGGCACGTCTTGGAAGCGTAGGTTGTTGAAGAGCTTTGTGCTGTGATCCTCCCAGGCCCATGTGGACGCTGCTGCTTCGCATGGCGGTGGGCCTTGGAGGTGAGCAGGGCGGTGTAATTTACTCTGTGCAGGGCGATGGTGTCCTTCACAAGTTTGAGCTTGCAAGCCTCGAGCTTGCGTCTCCTCTTCTTCATCTCACAAGCTGCTTGCTGTTTGCAGGCGCCGGGGTGCTTGCGCTTCTTCTGCTGCTGTTGCCGCGGCATCTTCTACGACATGTCTGGGCCTCGGCGTCCGACCTCAGCAGGCGATCAGCTCGAAAAAGCTAAGACAATCAAGCAGCACGCACCAGACGCAGCTGCCTACGGAGACCCCAGATGTTTAAGGATGTTGTGGCCCTCTTTTTGAGGTGGGGTGCTTGGATGAGAAGCACCGAGCAAAGCGTCAGGTGGGTTATGAGTTTGTACTTGTTGCGAAAGCAAGCAAGATGCCAGTGCTGTTGCAGGTCATCTTGCTTTTTCCGTTGTCACTTTTTGCGCTGTGGACATTCGCTGGTGCACCAGTCTTATTCGAGGCCTGCAAACCTGCATATCACTGGGGGTCTTGTTGTGATTGGATGGATCGGTGGGGTAGCATTGGTGAAGGCCGGCACAAAAGGTCTTTCCGATTGAGTAGGAATGCGGAGGACGCCAGAGTTCGAAACTGGGCTCACAGAGAGGGTGCTGGAAATGTGCACCCGCGACTCACCTATGGCACCTGTGAATTTGTCATTTGTCGAGCTGCGTCTTGGTTCCCTTTCACCGAGCGATGTCTCGAAGAGGAACGGAGCAGCTGAAGCGGTGCCAACAGCATCCAACTGCCAGCCTCGCCAGGAGTTGGGCTTGGGGTGTCAGCAGTGATCTGCAGGCGCGAGGATGTTGGATCGTGGTTGACTCTAGCCACGGCACTCAGCACCAAGCCGCAGTGCACGTTCTTAGTAGCTGAATCCCTGAAGATCGTTCGAGTTTGAAAGCAAGAGATCTGAACGGCAAGCTTTTGCCTGGACCCTAGCCGAGTCATGAGCGAACAGGATAGCATGGATAGGATCATGGTTTCACATGGCGACGAGGAAGACGAGACGACGACGACGAGGATCTTGATGGTGATGATGGCTGATGGATGGTGATATGGATGATGATGATGATGATGATGATTATGATTATGATGATGCTGCTGCTTTTGTTGGCGTTTTCGTCGTTGTTGTTGATGATGATAAAGGTAACAGTCGCAACAGGAGCTTTGACGATGCCGACCATGGTCACGATAATGCAGTGTCCATGACAATCATAGCGGCATTGAGTACAACAACGGTAGCCTGCACGCCTAAACCGGTTCCACAAACGTGCGAATGCGCAACGACATGCTACAACTGTAGCAGTGTAACAGCCCGCAACGAATGCTTTTGGGTTTCTATATGAACTGTAATAAGGATGCTAACAGTTTGACTTTTAGGAAGGGTTCAGAAGTCAGCCAAGAATTTTCAATCATGGGCACCAGGCAACACGAGAATAGCTGACACTACCAGGAGGACACGAGCGCATGAAATCGTGATCATCATGATGTTTGCTGACAGTCAATGAGCGCACGACCGCAACTCACATCCACATGCCTGCTGACAAGCAATCGGTGTGTTGGGAGGCCAAGCGCAGGCCTGGACGAGCCTGCAGTAGCCAGCGCCTTCCATGTGCTATGCGTGGCCGGAGAGGCATCATGTTGTCGACTTTATGCAAGTGCGGTTCAGACAGCTTGCTTCGTCACAAGCAAGTGCTCCGAGCAATCAGGTGTGTGAGGCAGCGACGACTTCTGTTGCCTGTCCGGGCCCTCCGGGATCGTTTTGTTCTGACATTCCACGAGATGCGTGTGTCAACATCAAACTGTTGACCTCACGGATCTTCAGAAATGGTTTTGGAAGTGCAGTATTTTTCGAGCTTGGCCAGTGGACATCTCATCAGCAACATGCTTGCATCACCTAGGCAGTGCACTTTGAGCCTTTCGTGAGATTCCGCTGCCCGTGTGCTTGCCATGCATGTGTGTTTGGATATTCAGATATTCTCCGTTTTCTATTTTAAATTCGAAGTAGCAGTCCCTGCTCAATGCCCGGCTTTTTTACCTACTCGCCAATAGCTTCGGATGACCGATGCCGCGGGCAACGAAGCAGCGTCTGCTTCTGTGAACCCACCAGTTTTGAAAGCTGACCATGACGAATGCCATATCGGACAGCCGGGCGTGTGTGCTGCTGCACAAAGTACCAGAGATTCGAGGCTCTCTAGACTCTCGCGGTCAACGGTGCATACGCCGAGTGTTCAAGAAACCACCAAGCTTTGACCAGGCGGACTGGAGCTCTGATGCCGCTTCCGATGCTATCCGTGTATCTGGGAGTGTACCCGAGCAGCGGATTGGCCGAAAACAAGCGCGGGACTTCCCAAGGCTCTCAATTCCAGAGTAGCAGGAGTGCACCAGTTTTCCCGCCACGTGTGGCAGGCACGCTCCGCGAGCCGTCCGCAGTGCAGACATGTCCCAGCAAAACACAGGAGCGTGGCATGGCCTGCTATGCCTTGCTACCGTGGTAATATTGAAATTCTTTCCTGCGAAGCTCTATACAAAAGACAGACCGAGATCTTGCTGTCACAGCAGCCATGGCGGATGAGGATGGTGGGCCACCCTCAACAGACGAGGTGCCAGCAACATGCTTTCTACAGTAGATCTTTCTAGATTCGACTCTCCGGCTTTGCGAGTGGCCTGGTGATGTGCCACATTCCGAGGCTCCGCCCGACGGGTCCGAAATGCCCAGCTACGCACCTAGCGATGCCTCGCCAGGCTCCTGCCACCGTTTCCAAATCGGACTGTGTTGGGGTCAGCGCGAGATTCGATCCGACCGACCCGCTGCAGGCGCCACGAAAAGCCCTGCTGCCAAAGTTGCAGCACTGCGGGCGACGATGGAGAAGAAGGCCCAACCGCAGGGCTCATTCTAGATTCTACTACTTCGGCTGCTGGCTGCAGGAGCTGGATCTCGAAGAAATTTACAAGATTGCTCAGGCGGGGGCCGCAAAGAGAGCTGAGGAGAAGCGATGAGGCTACTGGTATCGGGTGAAAGGAGACAGTGCTGCCCGGCGGTCTGGTTGCCAACCATGAGGTGCTCAGGGACGGGTACAAATTGAAGTTTCAGAAAATGAGGGGCCCCAAGTAGCAGGACCCTCTTGTTGACTGCTTGTCGTCGCTGCTGTCACAGACCGCGCTCGATGCGGCGCGATCCGGTGACTGGGCGATCGAGACTTAGTCGATGAACACAGTTTCAGTGATCGCAGCTTTGCAACCGCGTTGTAGCTCTCTGACTGCAGACTGTCAACCTCTGCGCTGAGGCTATGCACGTACCTCGCCGCCCGGTGCTGCCAGGCAACTGCTGGCCACGTCTCGTGATCAATGCAGCTTTTTCTTTATCCTCTGACTGCAACTCCGCTTTGAGGAAGACCCAGCGAAGCTGGCAGCTTTGGATGAGCGTTGCCACAGGAAAGCTGCTCGAACAGAGAGTGTTGAGTCGTGCAGTGCGTTCTGGGTCGCAGGACGCTCTGGATCGAGGTGGCCGCCCCTGTGGTCGTTGACATACCCCGTGGTCAGGCTGCGGCCCTGCTTTAGCACCTTGAGGCTTCGAGGTTGCAGGAGATTCCAGGGGTTCAGCCGGTCTTGTGGTCAGCAACTTTGTTTTCATTCTCTGAACCTGCCGGCAAACGCTTCGTTTGGGGAATGGCCAGAAGCCAACCACTTTCAACATTTTTCTCCGAGATTAACCTGGGACCCAAGCTGCCGTTGCTTGGGGAAGCTGCAGGAGCGACTGCTGGTAATGCAGGAGGGCGAGACAGAACCTGAGTGGGTGCCCACGGACAGGCTCAGACTCTGCAACCGGAGACTGCAGTTGCGTTTTTCGATGCAGCTCGACCGCTCCCCTACCTAGAATACAGTCGAGCACCGGCGGCAAGTCATCCTGAACCCTGAATCTAATGCTCAACCTGGAATCACCGACTCGTTGTCAGGTTGGTCTCAGAGATACAGCTGGATGGTGTGGCTGGGACCCCTGTCTCTATGTTTTCAGGAGGATGGTCTGTTGTCCGGCAAGACTTGCCGCTCAGCGAAGTTACGCTGTGTGGAGCACGTGCATCCGGAAAAGCAGGCGAGAAAGCCATCATTTGCTCTGCTGCTGGCTCGAAGCAGGCTTTGTTCTTTCTGTTGCGCCAGAGGTCCTACAATGCATTTACGTCATTTGAGGAGCTTGCCGTAGCTTGTTCTGATCCAACATAATGGGGCTCGCTGTCTCGTCGCCGGCAAGCAAGGGAAACGAGCAACTCGGCAACTAGCACTACCCTGTCAGATTCACGACTCTCACGAAGGATACACGGTTTCACTGTTTCTTCGGTGTGGTGCAGCATGTCCACATTGTGCCGCGGGTCTACGACACATGTTAGTCGAATCTGCCTGGTGAGCGCACTCTCCCTGGCAAATCCATCATTCCAAGGCAAAGCTTGTCAGAGGACTCGACAGCAGACGTGGACTTGGAAGGGATTGACACCAGCGATCCTCGGCAACACGAGTCTTGGAGTTGTTCCTCAATGTATGATGATGTAGAACAGACGCAACAAAGGCCTAGGCATCATCAGGTAGCTAGGCAGCTTTGTTTCGTACCTGGCTGCCTCGGTCCTGCTCGCCGCAGAAGTCATGCCAGCTGCCCCCCAGCAGTCCCCAGCTTGTGCGGTCTGTGTCTAGAGCACACTGTCGTGAGAGCAAGCTGGGGGTGGCCAGAGAGACAGTCGGCTGTCCATTGTCGAAATTTTCCTCACTATCAAACTGCTCCCAGAGGTGGTGCCACAGTCGGAGAGCGAAGCCGAAACCGTGGCCTGGCAGCGCCCGCAAATCCGCTCCAAGGCAGCTTCCAAGTCGCCCTGTGCTGCGCCGTCCGAGCATTGTCTCTTCACTGTTGGTTCCCTGCCAGGCCCAAAGCTGGGGGCTCTTGCCGGAGAGTCACATGGCGCAAGGGAACCCGCTTTTGATCACTTCACCTTCTCCGTGGTTAAATATGAGTCGACGACGACGACGAAGACGACTGTACCATTGCTAGTGCTGCTGCTGCGGCTGCTACTACTCCTGCTCTTACTTACTCCAACTACCGCCACCGCTACTACTCCTGCTCCTACGCCTACCCCTAGTCCTACTCCCATTTATTAATCCTCTTGCTCCTACTGCTCCTACTCCTATTCCTACTCCTTCTACTACCACGTACTACTACTACTACTACTACTACTACTACTCCTGCTGCTACTACTACTACTACTACTACTACTGCTACTACTGCTACTACTGATACTACTGATACTTCTACTTCTACTACTACTACTACTACTACTACTACTCCTGCTGCTACTACTACTACTACTACTACTGCTACTACTGCTACTACTGATACTACTGATAGCAAAGCGTGCCCTCTTCGCTGAGCAGACTTCGGACACTGCTGCGAGTGTGAGTGAGTGAGTACTACTACTACTGCTCCTACTGCTCCTACCAACAACAACTACAACAACAACAACAACAATAACAACAACAACAACAACAACAACAACTACTACTACTACTACTACTACTAGTACTGCTTCTGCTGCTGCTACCTCTACTGCTACTGCTACTGCTACTACTGCTACTGCTACTGCTACTACTGCTACTACTGCTACTACTGCTACCACTGCTACTGCTGCTACTAATGCTGCTGCTGCTACTACAGCTACAGCTACTACTGCTACTACTACTGCTGCAACAACAACGAAAACTACTACTGCTACTACTGGTACTAGTAGTAGTAGTAGTAGTAGTAGTAGTAGTAGTAGTAGCAGCAGGAGTAGTAGTAGTAGTAGTAGTAGTAGTAGAAGTAGAAGACTTTAACCCTCGGAACTATGTGGATGATCGTGTTGGACCAAGGCAGATGCATTTTGCTTTCTATGGCCTGCTCAACAACCTGATTCCGCACCTGACGGGGTACACCAACTATTCAATGCTTCGCCCAGTCACGAACAATCAGCCGCACTTCTATGTCATTGACGCCGTGGGCGCCGTGGGTGTTATGATGAACTCCAGCACTGAGGATGCGAGCCCGGACACCATTGCGATGTTCCTCGACCACGACATCTTGGTCCCGCGAAGGTACATCGACAAACTGGCAAAGTTTCGCGCC